CACTCGTGTCCCCTCCTGATCTCTGGCATTTTCCTCCTTGCCCAAATCCATCTTAATCACCTCAGGAACCCAACTGTCCTTATGGAAAGATTTTGCTTAGGGCCCCTTCCAGCACCTGGGGGCAGGGGCCACACTGATGCCGCCCTAAAAATTCAATCCCTGACTTTGAGCAAAGGTTGTTCCTGAGAACACAGTCACGAGCGAGTGATCAACATCTGCAAAGCCAAAGGTCACTTTGCAGTGGCAGATCTTTCTGCACCAGTTTGCAAGAGATCCAAGGGTGTAATTTCAACATCTTGTTGAAGTGCCAAAATGGAGAGATCTACCCAGAACCAGGAGCTCAGTGTTGGGATGAGCTGTGTCTCACCAGGGAGCCTCTAGTGTCACCCTGTCCAGCCGATCTTATGAAATCGGGTCTTTCTACCGAGGGAAATCACTAAGTCATGTGATAAATCAGATCACTGAGGAGTCTCCAGCCCAACTCTGGGCCCAGAGCAGGTCCCATCAGGCCACACGGGTTTGTGCTCAGTGGAAGCTCGAATGCCTCAACATTAGAAGGGTAAAGCACCACCTGGATAGATGTTTCCTTTCACACTCACCCACAAAGTAAGTTTGCCACCAAGACAGAAACCTGGTTTAGTTCCTGGGCAGCAAAGAGGGAGCATAGCAGCATGACTGGCAGTCACTGGCACCTCTTTTCCAGGAGGTGAAACATTGTCCCAGTGCTGAGGGGTAAAACTGAAATGACCTCAGTTTCGGCACGAGGAAATCCCGTCAGCCTCCTCCAGGACATTGGTGATGGGATTTGCTGCATGTGCGGTTTGGGGATCTCTTGGTTTCAGGACATGCCCAGGGGCTTGTGGCCACTTGGCTGTCCCTGTCCCATGACTTCCTTCTCTCAGTATGGACATTTTTCTTCCCTCCACATCTCTGGCTTTTCCTTCTTTCTCCTTGTGCAGAGAATGGGGAGTGCCAGGCTTGGGATCACCCAAACGCTTCCCAGGCACAGAGACCAGCCTCAGACAAGATGGACGACAGAGGCGTGGCTTCCCTGGGCCTTCTGGAGGTTTTCCTCTTTCTGCGCTCCCTTTCTGTCCAACGACTGGTGATTTGTGGGGAAAGGTCTTGCTCCAGCAGACCCGAGTGGTCCCTGGGTGCTGAGGAGAAATCGGCATGGACGTGCAGGTGCCTGAGGAGGCCCTTCCCAGAACCACCACCACACAGGGCAAGGGATGGGCTGGACGGAGCAAGTGCCTCTGCCCACGGGGTCACTGAAAATGGCCGCTGAGGGCCAGGCCCGGCCCTTCCCTCCTTTCTGGGCCTCGGAAGCCATGGAAGGTCCCACCAGTGCTCTGACAGGGAGGAGACAGGGCCGATGCAGAGCTGCTGCCCTCTTTCCCCCCTGGGACGAGGGGTCCTGTGCATGCCCACCAGTGCTGTGGATCCAGCATGGCTGCCACGATGTGGGACTACATATCCCAGCATGCCGTGGGAGTCCCAGGCCCATGCACTTCTTCTGCCAGCTCCTGGACACACGCAGTGTGAAAACCTGCATCCCCCCCAGCCATATTTCCTCCTCCTTGCTGCTATTTTTATTTAATCCAACACAGAATGATGAGCTCATCGGTTTCTATTTCTGTTTCAGACCGCAACATTGCCTGCTAGTTTTCATACAGGAAGGGCTTGTGCATTTGCAGCACTTACTCAAGTAAGTGGGGAAATTCTCAATGTCTGTTGCACAAATAACCAGAAAATTCGGGAAAAAAAAAAAAAAAAGTTTATTTTTTTCACAGACACAACAGGTTGCAGAGGCACTTTGACAGTGGAGCAAAAGAGGAGGCAGATGGAAGATTGCTCAGCCTGAGGTAGAGACCAAGAGCATCCAGAGCCCCAGGATCACTGGGAGGTGTTGGGCACGTTTCCAAGCTACCAACACAGGGAAGGGTCTGATTTCTCCAGTGACAATTGCCCAGGTAGGGATAGGGACACCTAAGAGGGTCTAATGGTTCATTTTAGAAGTAGCAGAGCCCAAGTTGACCCAGTCCACCCCTCCTTAAATCCCCAAGTGCTGTCTCAGGTCCTTTAACCCTTGCCTGGTTCCTCTCTGTGCTGCGGTTAAGGGTTTCCCGTTGAGTTGTGCTGAAGGGAAGTCACACCCTGTGGTCTGAGTAATTGCCAGAGTGAGAGGGACCAGAGGACAACCTATGGAGTAGACAGGCACAGGTCCATTCAGAGACCCCAGGACAGAAGACACGAGTCCTGGAAGCGCAGGGTACATGGGACCTGAGGAAAGTAGGGTTCTTGTGAGGTGGGAAGAGGACCTGGGGTGCGATGGAAGGGCATGCAGGGCAACTGGGAGGGTTCGGAGGGCACTGGGAGAGGGTGGAAGAAAGTAGGGGATGTGAGAAGGGCCCACATTCTGCAAACAACCCCCTAACAGTGCCCTGGCATGCCATGGGGTTAAGGGGAAGGCTGCTCACTCCTAATTTGTAGATAGCACTGGGTAATTAGAGGACAGCCTATGGCTGGGGGGCAAGAGGGTCTGCGTGTACTTGGGTATGTGGGGTGGAGCAGGAACATCTGGACAGCTGTGCCTGGGTGCATAGGAATGAGGGGACAGAGAACAGCGAGGCAGGTTGGGGCACCCCGTTACCCAGATCCCCTGGAGGGCAGGCCTGCATGTGGGGTTGAACAGGGGGAGATGACATGCCTGCGTCCCGAGTGGTTAGAGTGGGGGGAGCGGAGCAGAGGGAGCTGGGACATCTGGGTCTCTCCCAGGGAGTGGTTGAGTGCAGCAGGGGCACCCAAATACCACAGTCCCATGGGGAGCTGTGGTTGCCCATACAGTGGGGTTGCCCTTTCAGTTCCCTTCCCAGGTCACCACGGCCGTGAAGTCTCCATGGTTGATCTTGCAAGCCTGCTCCTGCCCTGTGGACAGCCCAGAGACCTGTGCAGTGACTCTCATTTGTGTCTGGCCCGAAGTCATTCTTGTGAGCAAATCTAATGGGACAGATGGAGGACTTTAGGTAACAAACTCTTCCCATTGTGGCTAGGACTTCTCTTCTGGGTGACCTCATTGCCCAGGACAGTTCTTGCTGTATTTTGAAATTAAACCCAACAGAGGAGAAAATTCCTTGGTACATCTCATTCTTCATTGTTCTGCATCCATACCGTGTGCTGAGGGAACAAAGCCCCTCTGGGCTCCCCACCCTCGGCTCAGCCTTAGACCACGATGGGACCCAAGGGAATCTTCCGCTACTGGGAGCCGCTGAGGACACCTGCCAGGTACCTGCTTGAGCTGTTTTGCCTCTTTGGGGCAGGAGATCTCTCCTCTGGGACACACCTGGGACTCCCTCCAGGTACTTGGTGGGTTTGGCGGCCCTCATCTCAAAGGAGCACCCACCCAGGGTGGCAGCCCGGGAACCCTCCTCTGCAGAGACCCCAGATAGTGTGCCTCCTCCAGGAGGAAGCTCCAACTGCACGCACCCACCTGGGACTCCCCCTGGCCAGAAACCAACGGTGGTTTGCCTCTGGTGGAAAGAGCCCCCATGCCAGGGGGGCTGTCTGGGATGCCTCCGCGGGAGCAGCACAGATCGGTTTGCCTCACCTGAGACGGAGCTGCCATCCCACCTGTGCACCAGGACCTCCACAGCAATAGTTCCTCCAGGGGTTTTGCATCCTCAGGGCTGAAGCACTCATCCTTTGTGGCTGCAAAGTATTTCCACTGGTGCCCAGCCTGGGTTCTCTCCGCAGAGACCTACCCCCAGGGAAGAGTCACTGCCTAGTAGTTGTAGCCTCCACTGGCAGGCTGTGATTGTAGGAGCTCTGTGCTGCTTGCAGAGCCAGCTGCCCAACTTGGGTTCCTCGCTGGCATAAAGATAGCTCTGTTTCTGAGGGACTGTGCACAAAGGGGGCCCCAGGTAGGTTTGTGTCTGCATGCAGCTCGCCCCACGCCTGGGAAGCAGCTGAGGATTTTTCCCTGGTAGATCCCCAATGTGGCTGTTCACCCTGGAGTGATAACCTCATCCCAGGTGAGAGGTGAGCTCATTGCAGTCTACAACTTCCTCAAGGGAGGCAGTGGAGAGGGAGGTGCTGATCTCCTCTCTCTGGTGACCAGGGATAGGACACGAGGAAATGGAATGAAGCTGCATCAGGGGAAGTGCAGATTGGACGTTAGGAAAAGGTCCTTCACCGAGAGGATGGTCAGTCACTGGAACAGGCTCCCCAGGGAAGTGATCACAGCACCAAGCCTGTCGGACTTCAGGGAATATCTGGACAACCCTCTTAGTCATATGGTTTAATTTTAGGCAGTCCTGCAAGGACCAGGAAGTTGGAATCGATGGTCCTTATGGGCCCCTCCCAACTTGAGATATTCTTTGATTCTATGTCTACAGAGATCACACATCATCTCTAAGCATTTCACCTTTTTTTTTTTTTTTTTTTATTCTCTTAAATTCATCAGCATTTCCACTGTTCCAGTTTCTGCCTGCTGGTATTGAAAAAGCCCTGGTGCCTCTTGCTGTGAGCACTCAAATTCAGCCACTGATGGCTCATCCCTCTCAGAGCACCCAGGAGTGAGTGGACAGAGTCACGGGTGCTCATGGCAATGGGGATTAAAGTAAGTATTTTGAACAACATGGGATGGATGAGTGTATCCTACCAGGTTTACCTACAACAGTTTACCTGCGTGCTGTCTGCTGGTTTGAGGAGCAAGCACAGGATTATGGGGCTGAGACAGCATGGGCATACATTAGCAGGGCACTGGACAGGGAGGAAGGAGCTGGCGAGAGCCCCATCACGCAGGGCAGCAGGTCAGTGGGTGCCATGTCACCGTCATCAGCCAGTCAGTGGTGGCCGTGTCACAGTGGGCAGCAGCAGCACCAGTGGCTGTGTCACCATGATGTCACAAGGGGTCTGTGACATGGCCGCACAGGGGTACAAGAGGAGCCGCAGAGCGGTGGGTCTTGCACCCTGGAGGAGTGTCTGTAGGACGAACAGGGATGAACTTCACCATGGCTGTCGCCAATAAGAAGCAACCAGCCAGTGCGAGGCGGAGCAAGATAGAGTTCTGGGATGGGATGAAGGACACCTTCATGATGCCCAGCATCCCCGTCACAGGTATAGGCATCCACAGCCACCACAGGAACGCTGTGGGGACCAACGCTTTTGGCATTGTGTGGGGGAGACTCAGCACTGGAGCCATCTCAGGAGTGTCCTCATCTGGGGCTGGGGACAGCAATGACACTCTATCTGCCAACGCACCAGAGCTCGGGGACGTTGGAGGGTTGAGAGCCGGTGGGCATGCAGCGTGACTCACTTTTCCTTTGCTTTCCAGAGCGAATACGCATCTGGGACGTGGTGTCCAGCTACATTCAAGAACACCTCCTGCTGCACAAGGTGGGGTGACACCTGCATCCTCCTCGTCCACCCAGAGGGGCGAGGAGTCCCTGTGACCCTGGGGCATGGCCTGCAGAGTTACTCTTCCCCTCCTCAGAAAGCAGGAAACTCACCCCAAAAGTCCCCACCGAGGGACAAACAGGGATTGTGCAAGGGGTGGTATCACCTCTGGTAGGTGGTGTTGGTACCTCAGGGGCTGATCCCGGTGACTGGACACCCCTCGGATGCCCAGAGGCTGCTCCTGCCCCGACTCCAGCACTGCTTTTTCAGAGAGAAGGGGAATGAGAAGGCTTGGCATCTCCTCCCCAATCTCTCCCCGCTGCCCAGCTGGTGCCTTTGAACAGCAGGAGCAGGCAGGGTCTGGTCCAAAGCACCATCCATGGACGCGACCACCCCAAGCTCTTTTCTCTGCAGCCAGTCCTCACCCGTTGGCCATTCCTTCTCTTCTACTTGCAGGGGGTCCGAATTCCCACCCTCGGCTCCTTTGATGTGGTCCCCACGCACATCCAGGTTGGGAACAAGAAGGTCACTGTCCAGAGTCCCGTGTTTCACCTGGCCAGGAACCTTGCGGTCCACAACCTGATGGAATACAAGGCCTACCTGCCTGGTAAGACTGCACATTCAAACCCTGGCTGGCTGCACAGTCAGGGTGAAGGCAAGTATCGCACCCCTTCTCTGGCTCTGAGACTCTTCCCTACGGCAAACTGTTGCCCCCTCTGTGGGGCAGCAGGTCCAAAACTGGGGCTTTTCTGAGCAATGAGTGCAATAAGCAGCAGCTCCTGGGAAACGCCTGCAGAAAGGGTCACTGGCTGAGCGCCTCTTTCCCCCTTCTGTGGTTTTTCAGGCAATAAGGAGCTAAAGCCCCTCAAGTATGCTGAGGTGGCCGCAGCCGCCTCTGTGTCGCGGCGGAAAGTGGAGATCTGCATCCAAGGCACCATGTCCCTCCTCTCTCAGTGCATGGGGAAGGGGGAGAACGTCGCCCTTGTCCTGAAGGGCATGGGGGTGCTCCTCATCGAAGACAGGAGAGTGCAAATGAACTTCTACTCTGATTTCCTGGAGAAGATTACTGCGAGGACGATCCAGGAAGTGGCTGCACTCAAGGTGAACCTTTTTGGTTTCCCCACAGCTTGGGTGCATCAACAGCAGTTCCCCAGCACTGCTTGTGTGCGGCCTGCCAGAACACGGCCAGCGGCTCAGGCCAGGCGAGAGCATGGTCCTGCCACCTCTTGCTGCCCGGAACTCCTCCACTATTGAGTGCCTTGGCCACGTTGAGGATATCCTGTCATCTCCAATGTTCCTCCATTGCAGGTTTTCCAGATGCTATCCCCCACGGTACCCATTGCTTCCCTGACCTTCACCGGCCGCGTCATCATCTTTCCTGAGTGAGTACTTTGGTGGCTGTTGCCTCTGGTTGATGCAGCTGCCTAGCTGAAGTTTGGTAGCTTCTGCTCCTTGGGTTCACAAGTGTTCCGGTGTGAGACACTGTGCAGTGACTCTCATTTGTGTCTGGCCCGAAGTCATTCTTGTGAGCAAATCTAATGGGACAGATGGAGGACTTTAGGTAACAAACTCTTCCCCTTGTGGCTAGGACTTCTCTTCTGGGTGACCTCATTGCCCAGGACAGCCCTTGGGGATGGGGCATCGTTGCCTTAGGAGAACAACGGCCCTTACGGCAATACCAAAATCTCTGCCTGCAAGCGAGTGATCGTGGCAAGTGGCACCTGGCAAGGGCTGGTGGTGCCGTGGGTCACGCTGGTGTCATCTCTTTGTCTCCAGCTTTGAATTGGAGTTTGTGCCCAAACCACCACCCAGCAGGGCCCCTCACAAGAGACATGTCCCTGCTGAGGACAACATGCAGAAGAAAGAAGAGGTTTTGTCACCTCCCAGGCAGAGCAAGAGAGGTAAAGCAGCTCCCGGCTCCGTTGCATAGCGCGGACAAGCAGCTTCTGTAGTGTGATGGGCAAATCCCCAGTGGCGATTGTCAAAAGGGTCCCACTTGTGCCGAAGCTGTGGGACAGCTCAGCACAGCCTGCTAATGACCCCTTGGCTTCCACAAAACTGAACCCCAGGATGGGCTGTGCCCAAGGGAGCAGCAGAAGGGTGGCAATCTGTCCTGGGTTTCAGTGAGTGCTGGGGTTCAGTGAGTAGCAGGGGAGGGGGGCTACAGCGGTGGCTCCTGTGAGAAGCTTCTCAAAGCTCCACTGGCTCCAAGGCAGACCCGCTTCTGCAGCAAGGCCGAGCCAATCAGCTGTGCCTCTGAGATAATGTACGTTAGGAAGGGGACATGGGAGGAGGAGTTGGAGTTGTGAGGAGGTAATGGGTAAGGGGGTGATTCATCCCTCCCTGCTCCATCTCGAAACCCAAGCCGTGAGGCTTATTTTCTTATTCCTGGGGCTGGAGGGGAGGGGGGAGTGAGCAGCTGCGTGGTGCCCAGTTGACCTCTGAGCTCGAACCGCCGACACATCCCAAGGCCCCCAGGAAATGACCCCTCTGCAAGAGTCCCTGGCCCGGCACCGGCATCACCCAGCTCCTCTTTCCCAAGTCTGACACTGATAACATGGTCACAGAACCACGCTGTGCCATGGAAATGAGGAGCTGGGAAAGAGCCAGCGCCAGAGTGGCTGCGAGGGGAGCAGAATGGCCCTCTCAGATGTTCTGGGAGGAGGCCTGAGCACCTCTAACGTGTCACCAGGGCTGGCAGTGTCCCAGCAATGCTCTTCTGACAAGGTCTCTCCTTCTCAGGTCCACTGAGTTTGGCTGAACTGCCCTCGTTTGAGGATTGCAACTTGACCCGTGATAAATCCCCACAGCTCTGGAAAACAATAATGGAGAACAGGAAGAAGCCTTTGTCTGGGTCAGTCAGGAAGCTCAGGGCTGGTGCCCGCACACGGTTGTTTTCTAACCCAGCAAGAGCCCGTTCCCCAGCCCCAAACACTCACTGTGTTCAATCACTGCTCAGCAGTGGTGAAGGCAGAGCCTGGAGGAGGGGCATAGGGCTCTGAGGAGCCCCCAGTTGCACAGGGCTGGATCTTCTCCAGCACTTCAGGAGAGCAGGCCCTAGCGCAGGGGCCTGGGGCCATGGGGATAGCCATGTGTCAGCTGAGGGTCAGAGCTCAGGGGTTTTCCTCAGCTGAGCTGCTGGTGGCTGTGCAAAGAGGCACGTGGCTCACAGGGGCAGGATGTGGCCCCAAACCTAATCGTGTCCTCAGGCAGACCCCTCCTGTCGTGTCCTTTCAGGTGGCTGCCAGTGGTCCCCAGACAACTCACCCAGAAAAGGGCAGCAGGTGACCAGCCCAACCCAGGGGCAAACCCATGCCCAATAGCCAAGCATCCCAGCAGAGCCCAGCTCAGGCACTGAAACCTCAATGGTGCAAACAAGGAGAACAAGAAAGAAAGAAAGTTCCTGTCGGAATCAAATTACCGTCAGTGAGGTGTGAGGCCAGGATGCCTGAGAAGCCTCCCGCCTACAAGGTCTTCATTCCGCAACCACTGACACTGGAGGTGGCACAATTACTAAAATCAAGGCCAGAGACGTTCTGGTCAGTGCTGAAGGAACCGCAGAAGACCGTATTAGCGGGATACAGCTTTGAGCCCTCCCTTCTTGTGCCACCAATGTATGAAGAGTCCAGGTCTACGCAATGCCACCCACTGAAGGCCAGATCTGCAGTGTCCAGGATGGAGTGGCCCTGGCTGGAGTGATCAGGGCTTGGGGTGCCTGCAGCAGAGGGAGTACCACCTGAGGTGGCAGAACAGGTCCGTGATTCAGATCTGTGTCATTCTTGGGTGCTGTTCCCTTGTAGAAATGCAGAGTTAGAGTACAGTGGGGACTCTTCAAAGACTCCAAAGTTCCACCTGATGATCCCATCTCAGGCCCTTCCATCACCAGGGGCGAGGGGCTTATTTCCAATGTTGGCCTCTCTTCTGTAGCCCCAGGAAACACACAAGACAATCTGATTTTGCCATGTTTGGAACACCTAACGAACTTCAAGGCTGCTGTGGGACATACGGGTGCATAGCTGAGCCTGGGAGGAAGAGAGGGGTGGGAGGAGGTGTTTTCATGATGTGCTAATGCTTCTCGGCATCCTCCTCTGTCTGTTAAGTGGTATTGTTGTTGTTAGTGTCTGTAATAAATTTATCTTTTCTTCTTCTCCTAATGAGTCTGTCTTTCGCCTCGACTCTAATGGGTGATTCATCCCTCCCCGTCTTACCAAGACTTTGCTTCTTATTTTCTCCTTCTCAGCACTGGGGGATAAAGGGGGACAAAGCGGCTGTGTGGTGCTCGGTTGCCCTCTGAGCTCAAATCACGACAGTCTGGCACAGCGTGGGAGCAAAGCGCTGCTGCTAGAGAGGGTTGGAGAGAAAGAGTCAATAAAGGGAGAGAAACAGCTGCCCTGCCCGCCAGGTCTTGAATGCCTTCCACAGACTCTGAGTGTGGGCAAAGAGCTCCCTAAACCCATAGTTTTGTCTTGACGAATCTCTCTTCTTTTCAGCAGCCCGTCTGTCTTAAGGACACAAGCAGCTCTGGAAAGAGATGAATAAAAACACAAAGGAGAAGCTGGAAAAGAACGTTGACTTTTTAAGTGGTTCAGAGTGGTCCTTCACCAGAAAAGGGGAGAGGGCTTTTACAGTTGGCCGTGGCTCTGAGATCAGCCCAAGGTGGTTCTGGGAGCAGGGCCATCAGAGAGGCCTTTCCTCAGGACCTTTCCCACCCAAGGTACCTTTTTGATGGCTGCTATGGAAAGGAACCGGCTTTGGGGGGCAAGAGGAGGCAACTCGGCCTCATTGGGAACAAGGTGGGTGAAGACCTGAATGTCCCTGGAGGGGAAAGCAGAGGATTCAAGTGCAGCCGCGGGAGGCATGGAGGGCACCTGCGTGCCAGGGCAGCGGAGGCCACCGGAGCTGTCACCCAGGGCCATGAGGGGAACGGGGGAAAGAGAGAAAGCAAGGCTGAGCCCAGCTCTGTGGGGCTGGGACTTTCTTCTTCCACTTGGGGTAAAGCCAGGTCTCTTTACTATCCTATTTTTTTACCATTTTAACCAATTTATGTCTCTACTGATGAAATCCTCCAAGCAGGTGCTCTGTTTGGCCATCCCATGGGCCACCCGCAGTGTCAGAAGGTCAATCTCCAGTGCCAGCACTAATCCACTCGTGTCCCCTCCTGATCTCTGGCATTTTCCTCCTTGCCCAAATCCATCTTAATCACCTCAGGAACCCAACTGTCCTTATGGAAAGATTTTGCTTAGGGCCCCTTCCAGCACCTGGGGGCAGGGGCCACACTGATGCCGCCCTAAAAATTCAATCCCTGACTTTGAGCAAAGGTTGTTCCTGAGAACACAGTCACGAGCGAGTGATCAACATCTGCAAAGCCAAAGGTCACTTTGCAGTGGCAGATCTTTCTGCACCAGTTTGCAAGAGATCCAAGGGTGTAATTTCAACATCTTGTTGAAGTGCCAAAATGGAGAGATCTACCCAGAACCAGGAGCTCAGTGTTGGGATGAGCTGTGTCTCACCAGGGAGCCTCTAGTGTCACCCTGTCCAGCCGATCTTATGAAATCGGGTCTTTCTACCGAGGGAAATCACTAAGTCATGTGATAAATCAGATCACTGAGGAGTCTCCAGCCCAACTCTGGGCCCAGAGCAGGTCCCATCAGGCCACACGGGTTTGTGCTCAGTGGAAGCTCGAATGCCTCAACATTAGAAGGGTAAAGCACCACCTGGATAGATGTTTCCTTTCACACTCACCCACAAAGTAAGTTTGCCACCAAGACAGAAACCTGGTTTAGTTCCTGGGCAGCAAAGAGGGAGCATAGCAGCATGACTGGCAGTCACTGGCACCTCTTTTCCAGGAGGTGAAACATTGTCCCAGTGCTGAGGGGTAAAACTGAAATGACCTCAGTTTCGGCACGAGGAAATCCCGTCAGCCCTCCTCCAGGACATTGGTGATGGGATTTGCTGCATGTGCGGTTTGGGGATCTCTTGGTTTCAGGACATGCCCAGGGGCTTGTGGCCACTTGGCTGTCCCTGTCCCATGACTTCCTTCTCTCAGTATGGACATTTTTCTTCCCTCCACATCTCTGGCTTTTCCTTCTTTCTCCTTGTGCAGAGAATGGGGAGTGCCAGGCTTGGGATCACCCAAACGCTTCCCAGGCACAGAGACCAGCCTCAGACAAGATGGACGACAGAGGCGTGGCTTCCCTGGGCCTTCTGGAGGTTTTCCTCTTTCTGCGCTCCCTTTCTGTCCAACGACTGGTGATTTGTGGGGAAAGGTCTTGCTCCAGCAGACCCGAGTGGTCCCTGGGTGCTGAGGAGAAATCGGCATGGACGTGCAGGTGCCTGAGGAGGCCCTTCCCAGAACCACCACCACACAGGGCAAGGGATGGGCTGGA